CCTTGCATACAATAAAGAAGAAATGTGTTATTTCACCTTGTTGCTGACATTTCTTTTTTTGGATGTCCATACATGAGCAGATGGAGACTGTTGGTCTGGCACGGTGATTTTGAGATTCAGCTGGAGATTTTTTAACCAGGAAGCAGCACCTTACTTTTGTTTTATCTAATATTGGATACTAATCCTACCCCTAACGCTATCCCTATCCTTATCTGTATACCTATCACTACCCTTATCTCTAAACACACAAGGTCACAATACATAACAGAAATGCAAAAGTTAGGGTCATGCTTCAGAGCTGTTAAACTTACCACGCTTATCCCAATGCCTCTGCTTCATAGTTGCCCAATCTGGTGTCACAGCCTCAAAAATCGAATTTCACAACTGATGCTTTGTCACTTTGTTGATGTATTCTCTACAAGTGTTGTCCCACAGGCCAGGCCTGGCATGCACAAGGTTGATGAGAGTCTCATGACATCTCGAGTCATGTTGCCAAAAGTGAAATTAAGGTGCATGTAATTTCCTTTGTTGACCACTACCTGGGTCATAGGTTGGGTTTGTGTTCTAAAATCAATATAAATTGTTTAAAGTGAAATATCTGTAAAAAAACGGATCTTAACGGAACGGATGTAAATGGACAGTCTGTGTACATTCGCTTACATCTGTTCCTTTCCGCTTCAATGGATCGTTAAAAAAACGGAACTGAATGGAGGGGGGTGTAAACGGATGCTCCTGCGTTTATAAGTGTTTGACAGCCAAATGAATGGCTGACCATTTTTCATCCGTCATCAGATGGATGAAAAACGGACACATGGAACACCCATGTGAAATGGCCAAAAAGGTTCCGATTTTTTTTTTTTTGTTTAATAATGTGTCATAATAAACACAACCCTTCTGTGCTAAGTAAAAAATGCCTTAAATGAAAGTGTGAGAAACTAATAATCAGCAAAATATATATATATATCTCAAACCTAAAAGATACAAATAAAACAATACAGCTCAAGATACAGAAGTACTTGTTACTTTAACTAATTTGTTTGGTGGAATAAATTTAAGGACTATACCCCATTGGACATTTGTTGCACTTTTATATATTTTTGTGTGCATGTTGTGTTTACACTTAAGAGTTTATAAATTCTTTATTTGTTATTTGTTTTTTATCAGTGCTGTATTCTTGTTTTATTTATAACAAACATGTTACATGCAGAGAGCAGCCCTGATCCTCCTCTTCTCGGGTCCCCCACTGGCATTCCTAGCCCCTCACCCCACTGACCACCCCCAGAGCATTCTGCTTGCTGGGGGCACTCGCGCATGCTTGCTCCTGAGTCACCTTTGTGTGTCTGTGAGACACACAGTGTGTCATGGCCTCGTCCCCCACTCCCACCTCACTGGCTATGATTGACAACAGCGGGAGCCAATGGAAGGGAAAGACCCTAGAGAGGAGGAAGAGACTCCAGAGAGCTTTTCCTCTCGTGCACATTGCTGGATCAGGATCTGGCTCAGATAAATATTGGGGGGGCTGTGGGGGAGCAGCACATTAAAGGTTTTTTAACTTCATGCATAGAGTGCATGAAGGTAAAAAGCCTTCAGTCTTTAACAACCACATTAAGATGCATAGACAACAGTGTTGATCAGTCTCTGAGCATGGCTTTGTTTGCGGGGGGAATGCATAGGCCCAAGGACACAACAGCATGTTGGTATCTAAGGATACGGCCGTATTCAGTCAGGGCTCTCCGAATGGCCATGGTGAACAAAACCTCTGTGCAGACACACAACAGCTGATGTTTCAGTTGTATTTGTCCCATTTAGGGATGTAGGGCAATGTGCAGGAAACACGCATGCTTCAGGCAGACTAGCAGCCCGTGTCTGAGTGTGTGTGTGTGCATGTGTGTCAGAGAGCAGCATATCCAGGTGGGTGATTTGAAGGGTTTCCATGGAGACCCCTCTGAATTGAACCTTGTTTAAAAAAAAAAGCAGACATCATTAGCTTAGGACCTAATTATTGCTTATTGAAGCAACAAATGAGAGAAGGGGACAGCTGCTAGTGAAGAGTTTTTTTTTTTTGCCGTGTGTAATTTCTGAGCCTGGGACAGAGTGTGGAGAGCAAAACCCCGGGAGAGCTCATATTATCTCATGAGGTCCCAGAACAGCCTCCTGCTTTGTTCCTCTGTTCATCTGCAGATACTGGGATACTACATGACTTGCTATTTCAAACCTAGCTAGACCTTTTTCTGTATCATCTCAAGAGAAGTCATGTCATGTGACAAAAGTCAATGGAGTTGCCATGATACACAGATAACTTAGCCAGAGCTGTCCTATAAACTCCTCTGCTGTTTTACAACACTAATCATTCTTTCAAGATTTCTGGAAAAGATCCCTAGTCCAGATTTAGCGATGTAGCAATTGAATAATATAAATGAAGTATATGAGGAATACACAGAAATAAAACAAGGGCTAGCAGGAACTGGTGGACTGCAATCATCCTTTGTTCTAGAAAGGAGGGGGCCACCTAGCAGTAGTTACGGCTCTTTTACACGGGCTGAGCCATGGTTTTATTACCCCCCCCCCCTTCCCGCATGTCCACCAGAATGCATGGCATTCTGAGTTTGATAGGCAGCACCAGTTGTCAATCTCACACATTGATATCATTGGGGCTGCACCACAATCACAAGTCAAATGTCTCACAGTTGCAGCATGGTCCCACAATGTAAAATTGCAGTCCACCAATTAAAAAAAAGAGCAGTTAAGAAAAAAAACAGGCATCAGCAGGCAGCAGTAGCATCTCCTGAGCACTTGTCAGCTGCTCTGACCTGTCAGCTGTCCCTCTGCTGAAAAGTGATCCACCACAGATCGCTTTTCTGGGGTGGTAAGACCTACCTGTCTGAAAGAGCCCTTAGTGGTTATGGTAGAATGCTTCTGGTAATCCACTTAGTATTCACACCTGAACTTTTTGTATCTCAAAGCTCCAAACATCCAAAATTCCATGTATTTTAAATGTGGATGTTCACATATAAGCATGTAGGTATATTTAGCTCAATGATTGACACTCTTGAAGCTACATGAGATACTTTTGGAAGCATTGTTGGGCAGTTTTGGCCCCATAGACTTGAATAGGACTGCCTTAAAACACACAACTTGAGCATTTTTCACAATCTTTCAGGCTTTTTTAGGTTGTAAGAACTGATCTTCTCCCCTTAGATCATTCCATTGGCTACAATAAAAACATCGTAACCTACGCGTTGCGTCACCTCTCACGTGACTTCCTCAGGGTCACGTCACGTGAGAGGTGACGCAACGCGTAGGTGACGTCATTTCCGGTGCGGACGCCATGTTTGGACACCCTACAGAACCCAGCAAGTACACCCATGCATGAGGTTCTATATGCTCTGTACAAGAAGAGGAAAAATGTGAGTGTCCTGTATATGTTATCTTACTGTAACAATAAATGATAATGCACTATGGAGGCTTTTTTCTTTGTGGACTATGTGGGAGCTGATATGTCTGGATAAGAGCCATTTAGGAGATTGCTGGTGGTTACGCTTTTACCCAGGAGTCCACGAGAGAATCATAAGGCATTTAGGCCCTTTTAGGGTCGCAGCAAGGAGGTGAGGGGCCAATCTAGCTGAGTGTGCTATCATCACCAGGATCTAGCAACACACGAGATTCACCTGCATGTGTATTTATGACGTGGACACTGGTGGCACTTTTTGTTTATACATCAAGTTTTTTTGACTGTTGTGTTCACTTATTGCATTTTTATGATTTATTTGTCATTTATATTGATGAATAGAGTGTGTTGACTCTGAGCACTATCATTATTAGATACATCCCCTGATATAGGGGCTTATTAATGGTTATCTTCACTTGTAGCACCATTGTGTTGTTGCACTTTTTTTTTCTTCAATGTTATTCACGTTTGTTCACTAATATGTCATTATGTAGAGATTTAGTTTATTTACTTATTTTTTATTTAGTTTGGTTTATCACTTTAGGTAATAAGGTGCAGGTGTAGCAGCTTATCTTTAGCTTATTAGGATTGTGCGCAGGAGGTTTACCAATTTAGCAATCCTGTGATGGCTGTGTCCCTTGGAGCACTGTGATTGGCTCTTCCAATTACATGATGTCCAATCAGAGCCATCACTCAGTGTAAACAGAGACACCTGTCTCTGTGTCAGACCTTCCCACTAAGTTCAGTGAGAGCTCAGTGTGGGGAGGGAGAAGGGGATGCTGCAGCCTATTAAAAGCCAGTGGCATAGCTGATCATATGTGCAGCACCATGACAACTGTGGATTACACAGAAGCTAGGATGTCAGCTTTTCTTGGCTATAATGAATAAAATAATTAAATTCAGCTTTAAGAGACCACTGTTATAAAAAAAAATATTGTGATAACGATATGTAGGCGGGGCTTTGGTGTAGGTACATGCTCAGAAGGGAACACAAACACACAACAGTTCTTGCCAACTGGAAATTTCTAGGTACAGTATGGCATAGCATTATATACAGTTCAAGGCTGTGTTTAACTACCTGCCGATCGCAGATAGCCGAATGACGGCTGCACTGCGGCCGGCCAGTTCTGAGTGGACGTCATATGACGTCCTCCCAGAACGCGCTCTCCTGCGCGCCCCAGGGGGCACGCACCCGGCGATCTCCGTGATCGCTGTGTCCTACGGACACAGCTGATCACGTGATGTGGTAAAAGGCCAATCACAGCGGCCTTTTACCACGTGATCAGCGGCGTACAATGACACGCTGATCAGAGGGAAATGCAAGTGCCGGTTCTCGGCTGCACTTTCCTCACGCTGTCAGATCGTGAGGAAAGTACTGCCGAGAACCGGCAGTTGTCAGAGCGAGGATCGGCACCGATCATCATGATGATCCGTGCCCTGATGATCGGTGCCCAGCAGTGCCACCCGCAAGTTCCGCCCACCTGTGCCCAGCAGTGCGCCCACTAGCTCCGCCCACCGGTGCCCAGCAGATCACCCACCTGTGCCCAGCAGTGCACCCACCTGTGCCACTCTGCAGTGTCACACACCTGTGCCCAGAAGTGCCACCTACCTGTGCCCAGCAGTGCCACCCACCTGTGCCCACCCACCTGTGCCCACCAGTGCCACCCACCTGTGCCCACCCACCAGTGCTGCCCACCAGTGCCACCCACCAGTGCAGCCCAGCAGTGCTGCCAGTCAGTGCCACCAGTCAGTGCCCAGGGGTTGTGCCAGTCAGTGCCGCCAGTCAGTGCCCAGCAGTGATGCCAGTCAGTGCCGTCTATCAGTACCCATCATCAGTGTCACCTATCAGTGCCGCCTATCAGTGCTGCATATTAGTGCCGCCTATCCGTGACACCTCATTAGTGCTGTCAATCAGTGCCACCTATCCGTGCCACCTCATTAGTACTGCCTATCAGTGCCCTTTAGTGCTGCCTATCAGTGCCCATCAGTGCCGCCTATCAGTGCCCATCAGTGCTGCCTCATCAACGCACATCAGTGAAGAAGAAAAAATGCCTGTTTGAAAAATTTTATAATAGAAACAAAGAAACTTTTTTTTTTTTTTCAAATTTTTTGCCCTTAAAGCGCCAAAAAGTGGCAATTAAATACCACCAAAAGAAAGCTCTATTTGTGAGAAAAAAATGATCAAAATTTCATATGGGTACAATGTTGCATGACCGCGCAATTGTCAATCAAAGTGCGGCAGCGCTGAAAGCTAAAAATTGGCCTGGTAAATAAGGGGGTATAAGTGCCTGGTAGGCAAGTGGTTAAAGGCAGCACTGTTTACCACAGCCCAGCACATAGGATTGAGTTGGATTTACCGGAGGATGGTTTCTGCTGGAGAGGTTTAGAACAAAACTACTCCCACTGCGCTCACCGCAGAAGGGATCTCGGAAGGTGTTAGGTTTCACTTGCTGCTTTATGCATTGACATAGGTCCTTAGACCCAGTCTGTCCCTACAGTATGGTCACCTGCTGCCATCCACAGGCAGCTTATGGGAGAAGTATAGTCTATATGCAAAAAAACCCCATTATACTCACTTAGATAGATGCAACATCGAACACCACTGAACGCTCAGTTCTTTCCCTCCACTCTGAGCAGAGAGCCGTGACTGTCACCGTCTCTCTACGCTGCCCCTCCAGCGCTCACTGAAGTGCTGGACTGTGGAAGGGGTGAAAACAGCTGGCCCAGGCTCTCAGCAGTTTGCTGAGAGGCTGAGCCAGGTGTCGGTCCAGTCATATGGTCAGGATCTATTCAGAGCATGAACTGGCTCTGTGATGTCAGCCAACAGCGGGCTTTAGCCCACTGTTGGCTGAAAATGGGTTACAGGAATGCAGTCCTGTGATCCATAGGAGAAGTACAGCCACAAAGCTTTGGCTATACTTCTCCTTTGCCTCTTCAATACAGCACAGAAGTTGAATCCAATACAATCTTACTTCAGTTAAAGCGTTACGAAATCCACAACAGTAAAATCAGTCTGTATATGCAGTAAAGCATGCTTGTTATACTCACTGTGGAACCTAAAGGGTTAATCCACCACATCGTGTAAAAAGGCTGTTTGATCCTGTTTGCTCTGATCCTCCCCCTCTTCTAATATCCCCAATCCATCTGCTGACAGTACAGAGCCCTAGGATGCACTCTGCACATGCTCGGTTTGGTGTGTATTGCTAGAGAGTTTTCTTTTTTTGGGGGCGGGTGCATGGGGCCAATTAGCACTGTCCAGACAAAAGGTTGGGGGTTATGCAGTCTCATAGGACAGTCAAAGGAGAATGAAAACTCCTCCTACAAGCTTTAACCAGTGCCCAGCTGGCCAGTCACAAGACTGCTCTATACTGCTGATGAGAAAAGGTATTAAGCAGTTTATGTTTACTAAAATAATTCCATTTCCATGTTCTGTGTACTGTGGAAAACCAGATACAGTGAATGCAGTGTCATGGGATTAGTAACACTTTAATTGTAGTACAGTGGATGTTTTTCCAGTCCTTTGAAGTGCAAAAAGCCAATGACTTTAACAATTCGCACTTAAATCTCACCTGAACCGCTGAATGAAGTCACTATGGACAGGGCGCACATATGTGAACTCAGGCTCATTCATTTCAATGGGGAGGTGCATTTTCAGTGCTCTTTTTTTACTGAACCAAACATGCACCAAAAATGCAGCAAGCAGGACATTGAAAAAACACAACGTACCCACAACTGACCAGTGTGAAGAATTCCATAGGCTTTAATAGTTGTGCTTTTTTCTTCCACTTTTTTTAACACAAAAGCTGAAAAAAAGGGATCAGTGAGAAAGCAGCCTTATCCTCTTACCCTGTAACAATGGCACAGTGCCACCAACAGGACAGAAGGGTACCTGCACCCGCCTACATATATATGATTAACAAATGTAGCATTGCAGTCAAGCGATTTTTATTTCACATCCTTATTTATACTTTTCTCTACACTTACATGTGTAGCTATATTTACATAAGTAGATAGAATTTTTTAAAAGAAAATGTAATCCATGTAAACAAAGGGTCATTGTTTTTGGCTCCCCCGGTAGTCTTATGGTTTGTCCAGGGGCGGACTGACCATTTGGAAACTCGGGCACAGTAGGGGGCCCCATGAGATGCCCCTGGTACCTTTTTCATAGGCTTTTTTGAGTTTGGGCGAGGACACAGGGGCCCCATGATCCCCTATTGCCCGGGGGCCCCATGAGTTGTCAGTCCGCCCCTGGGTTTGTTCCAACCCCTGCATCTGTCACTTTTTCTGGACATCTTAGTCTGCATGCTAATGTATAGAAAAAAATAGAAAAACATGCTAAATAAAAAGAGGAATTAAAATGCTGAATACTTCTACTAAAGTAGTAGTAAATCCTAAACAACAAAAAACCTTCTGGTCCCTCTGCAATGGAATGGCATAATGTGCTGGTATGCATTGCATACCAGCACATTATGAAAGACTTACCTGTAAAACGAAGCCTTCCAGCAGCATACTGTCACCACTGACAGGGCTTCCATCTTCACCTCCTTTCTTCCAGGTTTGCGGGCTCCAGCTGCGATGACGTCACTCCCTTGTATGCACGCTGTCCATTGAGAGCACGGTACACATGTATGAATGATGTCACCAGCTGCTAGTCATTGAAATACCTCCTAAAAAGTGCATTTTACCTACAGATAAGCTTTATTATAAGCCTACCTGTAGGTAAAAGGGACAAAATGGACTTTACTACCACTATAGGTATTAGCCACAGCTCTCTAACTAAAATATTTTTGTGATAGTGGTCATTTAATTTAAAAAAATGTAGAAAAACAAAAGCATTGTATGGAATAGAAAAAAAGGATCTAGTTGTCCCGTATGTCTTTTTATACATAGTATATACAAACATACAGCAGGAAACATTAGGAAACACTAAACCAGGGAGTGTGGGATGGGCACTGTTCTGCAGAACAAAGGATGATTGTAGGTTAGAGGATCCTGCAAACTCCTGTTCATTCTCCTGGGAATTTGCCTCTTAGCAACAGAAAATGGGAGAACATGTGTCATGAACATACAAAATACCTGGCGGTGGCACTGTGGTTCCTGGATTAGAATAGTGTAATTTCAGTGTCCACCAGTGACCAAACCCTAGTACTCAGCAGAGCTTAGTGTTTGGTCGTCACCTTATGATAGCTGCTTGGAGGCCTCCCCACCTAACTCTCTTCCTCAGCATTCTACTTGTGTGCCTGTAAAGTCTATACCTGTATCTGCCATTTTTTCGCATCTCTGTTGTGGTCCAATTTCTGATCTGAATACTAACTGTTACCATGCTTAGTTGTATTTGGCGAAAGGCTCACAGTTCTAACTACCAAAGCTCACCTACACAGTCTCTGGAGGTGACCTACTTCTCCCAGCACAATCTCCACAGTTCATAGGCTGGCCTCCACTGGTTCCCATATTTCAGGGATACCTTTTCCCATTAACCCAGGCCTAGCTTTTGAGTATTATCTTCAGCACTCACTTTACCCCTTGGAAGGACTTTCCATGCCTTGCAACACCAGTGTTGAACACCTCTCATGCTCTGTTCCACATCCCAGCACAGAATAAATAATGTTCAGTTGGGTTCAAATAAACAGGCTTTGTTCTACATAATGGCATTTAAACAAAAGATAAAACAAATTAATATACCACTTGTCTTCTCTGACTTGCTGACTGGGAATTTTTATGGACAGGCTCCACAGGTTTGATAAAATTAATGAACATTTTACAAGGCTGTAAAGTTTTTTATATGTGTAACACCCTGCTAAAAAGCCCGTTGCAGGATGTTAAGAGAAACACAAGATGGCAGTGTACTGCAATTCAGTGGCACTCACACTCTGAAGAACAGCCCCATGGACATTTTATACTGAACCACGGGACTTTGCTAGGAGCAGTGTACCAGAGGACTACATTTCCCAGAGGAGCTGGTGTGTGGGCAGAGGCATTATGCAGAAGCCTGGGAGATTGGACAAGAAGTGAGAAGGGAGAGAGCTGGAGAGTAGAATGAAAGAGAGAAGTGGCGCTGACTGCCGGAGAACCAGACCAGGCTGCAGAGCTAGAGAGAGGAAAGGTGAGGAAGCGTCACTGACAGCTAGGCGCACCGCCCTGTTCAGTGAGACAATCTGCCAGCAGGTGACCAAAGTGCAGTGACTGGAAGGAGCACTGTAAGTGAGGCCAGAGAACCTGTGGGGGCCTCCCGTCCATTGAGAGAGAGAGAGAGAGAGACCAGAGGACCTTCTGAAAGCCACCAATTGGGTGACAGAGTCATATACACCAGCCAAACAAGTGAACACTGACATTCTCCCTCATACCTGCTACTTTTCCTGCACAAAGTTGTGGACATTGCATTTAGTTAACATGTATTGCGGCCTAGTTCCCACAACCGCTGCTGTTGAACACATTTGCAGTACAGTCCAATCAATTAAAGGGGACAACATCCATGTCACGTGCCACTTAAAGGGAAAGTACTTGTCCTCTCTTCTTCCTCTCCTTGTATTAATCCTTAAGGAACTGTCACCTTTAACTCATGCACCAACTGGGCCCTAACGAGCACGCAGAAGATTCCTCACTGCACTTAAAGGGACATTGACTACCTTAGTTAAAGAACTCTTTCCTATCTCAGATTTAAACCTTGCCATCAGATTCTGAGGGACCAAAGTGAGCTAGTTCAACTGTTGATAGTTTTCCTTGCTCACTGGAGACTACAAACACCTCAGGTTGGAGATAGTGGGTTCATTTCTGAATAGTAGGCCTGCTAACAGTGACTGAGATTCTGCTGTATGTGTTGTTTCTTTGCTTAGAGTTGTTAAGAGTAATAATTGGCATTACTCATACCAATACCATGTTGTGCTGTTTAATCAAGCTCTCATTGAAGTTTACTATAAACCTCATACCAGTTTACTGTAATTTGTGTGTGAGTCTCCTTTCTGTTG